ACTCCTTTGGTAACTCCTGCCTCTACCTTCTGTGATGAGAGCATGTCCTTGATTTTCAGGCTTCTTTCTCATCTTCTCATTAAGTGGAAGAGCCGATGTGATGTCTTTCAACTCAATGGTGGTCTTACCATGCAGGATGGTTGTTGCCAAATTATCGTAAGAAGATGGCAACGAGTTCAAGAACAAGATGGCTTTATCTTCTTCCTCGATCTTTACACCGAGGTTAGCGAGCTGTGTGATTAGTCTGTTAAACAAACTTAAATGTGACAAAAAATTCGTACCTTCGCCCAAGTGTAGGGCGTATAATTGCTTCTCCAAATATAATTTATTTGTTAGCGTTTTGGACGTGTATAGGTTTTCCAACCTTGTCCAAATATCACATTCGGTGTCTTCATCAATAATATTATTTACCACATCATCTGATAAGTGCAACCTGATTGTACTAGCAGCCTTTTAATCCAAGTCAGCCCAATCCTTAACTTTCATGGTATCAGGCTTTTCTGGCATCGACATCTAGTACCTTATGTAATCCTGTTGAATGAGCAGATCCCTCATCCTTCTTTGCCATGTTGAGAAACCACTATCTCCGTTAAATTTTTCTACCTCGTACTTTTCTCCGGACATTTTATTTTTTAGTATAGTACTACCGACCACGAATAATATTTCTGTGTATGAGCAGAACCTGTGCTTTGATACTAGTTGTTGGGAATAAACCCCCTACAAGAATAATATTCAAGGTAATAAGACCGGAATAATAATGTAGCACCGAGATACGATAATCAACAAGAATAAAAGAGCGACTACGACACCAAGATTTTTACGTGAAAAAACCTTCTGAATAAGGGAAAAAACCACAATCCCAATCTGATATCACTATAGTAAGGAATTTTACACTTTGTAGACCCGAGCAAAATACTACAAATACCACTACAACACTCAAAAGAAATAACCATCTTTTGATATTTCCCACCTCACTCTTTCTTTCTCTCTTTGTTGGTATGACTAAAGAAGTGAAAGAGGTCTTCCTTTTATAGGAGAAAAGAGTCGTAGGCTCCAAGTGTGCTACCGGGCATTTTTAATCTCCTCCACTTATTTCTAAACTTTGGCTTTAAGTAAGATCTTTCACCAAAGATCTCTGTCATAGTATCGGCACAATAGGCATAAGGCTATTGCCAACTATTGCCCACCAATGAGATGGACCCCACAAGTTATAGAAGGAGAGTTTATTTTGAAATGTATATGTAACTCTATTGATAATATTTATATTTTGTACATATACAAGGTTTGATTCAAAACTTTGATTTTTGTCGAATTCACGAATTTGTATTTAAATTCCTCAGTATTTTGCAAGAAAGATGGGAAAGCAATTATTGGAAGCTGTTACACAGAAGACTTATCATTAGTTTGTTATCCTTGATCACTCTTTCAAACAAAATTTTAAAAAGTTTCGTTTATATTTGTTTATGAATTTTTAATCCTTTTCATATGGTTGTGGGCTACTTATATGGGGTCTTTACATAAATAATAAGTTGAACTTATTGTTTATTTTTTCTATTCAATATATATCAATTACACGATTATACCAACCATCGGACCAAAAAAAGTTCAAAACCATAAGATTTCTGTTATAATTCATGACGAAATACGACCTTCTCTTTCCCTTTCACGTCTTTTCCATTCTTCAAAAAATGAAATAGTTAATGAAAAAAGGAAACATATCAAATAAATATGTAATTTTCTTAATACAGCATAAATTCAATGCAGCCTGTTTGGATAGCTGGATCACCTAAAGTAATTTTGATTATGTCAATTATCAACTATTAAAGGATTAATTTAATTCATACACACAAGAAAAATAAATTTCTTTTATCATAAAAAGTAGGTATGATAATAAATAAATTTATTAACCTTTAATAGTGTGTTGGACTTTAAGCATTGGGCTTTAAAGACTTTAAACATTGGGTTTTTAAAGTCTAAGAGTGTGAATTGGAAATGGTGGGAAATAAAATGGAGGGAAATGAAAATTTGAATGAAGTGAGCTTTTGTCTTGAACTTTGTCCCTCATTGGTGAGGGACAACTACATTTGTGTGTATATATATAGAATCACTTCTTAGAGCTCTTAAAAGGAGTTGAAGAGAATGAACCCTCGCGCCGTCGTCGTCGCTTGGCTTCGGCTTCGGAATTTTTTGGACAAAATTTATTTAATTAATTATTTAATAATTAATTAAAAGCCAGTCAGTTAATTAACGAAATTAACTGAAATTTGAAATCCAAATTAACGAAATTAACTAAAATCTTGAAATCCAAACGCTGAATGTTTTTTCTGAACAGACACTTTTCCTGAACAGTCACACCTCTTCCGATAATTGCTTATAAATTCTGAGGCATGGCTGCATTTTCGAAACACTGAAAAATTACAGAACTTCCTTCCTTCTGAAAATCCTGCATTCTATTACGCAGAATCTCTTCTAAATTCGTAAGTGTGATTTTGCTCCGTTCTTTGAGTTCGTTGGTATCTTGCAGTTTGTATTGCCACTGTTGCAAGAAAGTTTATTCCGTTTCATCCTGGGAGGATTTAATCCATTACCTTGGTAACCTGTGAGAGGGTTAAAATTCCTTAAGGACGCACAAGCAAATTGTGGACTCGAAATATCTTTTATATTTTACTGTTTTTCCAGTTTTTTTTTTCTAACAGTCTTTCTGATTTTATGTTTTAACACAGTAGCGTTTACGGGAAGTCCACCACAACTCCAAAGAAAAACATGTGCTTTCCATTTAGTATGAGGTTGACAACTTAAAATAATAAATATTAAAATCACATAAAGACAAACTTAGAGAGAGATGAATGAAAGAAGATAAATGGAGAATGCCACAATTCCATATTTCTTTTCTGAACTTATTTGGAGATATTTTTGGAAAAGATTAAGAATTGGATAGACCCTATCATGGGATTTTTGTGCCCCATGTAGAAATGTGAACTTGCACCAAAGAGATCTTTTACAAATTTAGAGCCCGTTTGGCCGCGAAAATATTTCCACTTTTTTCTCTAAAAAAAAATCACTTTTTTTTTACGAAATTAGTGTTTGACCATAAAAATTTTCGAAATTTCTAAAAACTTCAAAAAACTTTTTTTTAAATTTTCATTCAGATCACTCACAAAATTCAAAAACAACCCAAAATTATATTTATGTCCAAACATAACTCTAATTTCAAATACCATTTTTACTTGAATTTTTTTTTTTTACTTTTTTTTTGGAATTTTACAATTCTTATGTCCAAGCGCCCACTTATTTTATTTTAATTGTAATAGGTTCTATTGACTCATTTCCACTGGTGTTTTGGGTTAAGCTTGCGTGCTCCTTAACTACTTAGGTCCTATTTGTCTATATATAGATTTTTTCTGATATTTTATTTTTCTTCCAAAAGCGTGTTTGTCCATAAATTTTTGTCAGATTTTGGAGATTTTTAGGAAATGAGTTTTTCAAATATCAAATAGTGGTTTTGATCACTTTTTTAATTTTTTCGGGAAAACTTTTTTCTCCACTCTGTAATATTTTCTTCAAGTGAAATATATGTTCAGACATAATTTCAAATTCCAAATACAAATTTTCAACTATTTTTTTTCAAAAATTATAATTTTATAATTTTTTTTTGAACCCTTCATCTTAATTGTGGAAGGCAAAAACCTCAATAGTTGATCTAGCGAGCTCTCAACCTGTTCATTCACGATAATTATTGAATATTTAGCTAACTTTTTACACCTCAATTAATATTAGTAAAGAAAATAATTAGACACGGCCGCAGTTCTTTATTAAATTCCTATCGGATGTTTCCTATATAAAGATTTTTCTACGATAAAAACAAGAACTTGATAGGCTCTTAATTTTTATTGAATTTATTCACCTCGTGAATTTAATTAGTGGTCCAATAAATTTTAGACGAGGCATGGTTAAAGGGGAAAAAAAAAGGAGCAGAATAGTTTTTTTCTTAACAACTTGTTTGGATGGTTGCTACATGTTGTATTGTATCATATTGTTACGTTAAATACGATATTAGTTTTAAATATTATTTAAATTTTATTATATCGTATTGTTAAATTCATTGTTACGAAATAATGAAAAGTGTCACTTTATGGAATGACCGATTTGGTATGGTACGTCGTTACCTTATTTTCCTCTCATATTGGCCTTCTTTATTCTTAAATAATCCTATTTTATCCTTTATCGTTCCTTTTTATATAACAATTCTACCCCGTATCTTACTTGGTATTTGTAATAATGCAAGTTTATTCTTCATATTAATTGGTGCATGACATCATAAAACAACGGCAAACAATACAATCTATTCAAGCATTGTATACATTAAAACGATACAGTACAATACTATACGATATATTATGAAATGATACATAACAACCATCCAAACAAGCTATAATTATTCGGTATTAAATTTTCTCTATTGCGAATTCGTGTCCTGTAATCCTACAATGACTCAAAAAATTCAAAAAGAAGGGCGAATATCCTTACTATCTAGGTGCCGTTTGTCCATACAAAAAATTCCTTTTTTTAAAATTTTTTTTTTCAAAAATATGTTTTTCCATGAAATTTTGTAACTTTTTGAAAAAAAATTGAAAATGTTTTTTTCAAATTCAAAATTTTCAGGAATTTTTTTTTCTTCACTCACAAAACTGCAATATTATCCAAATAAAATTTTAAATTTCAAATAACATTTTTCAACTTAACTTCAAATACTGTATTATTTTTTTTGATTTTTCACTAGTGTCTGATATATTACTAATTTGATTTCGTACGTATAAAGCTCATTGAATATATAGATTCCTTTTGTTATGTAAATTTTTTATTAAAAAAAAAGATGTACCCGTAACGTCAAGGGAAGTCATCATCAACCAACAAAAGCACACTCAACCAAGCGTATAAGCAATTATATAAACATAGGACCTTTAAGTTTTCTCTCACCTACTCTCCCTACCCCCCCCCCCCCTACCCCTACCCCTGCGGCCATTCTGTTAGTCATAGAGAGATGAGGAAACAGAATTTGGAAGCTCCATTGTTGGACCCTTCTCCTGCAAGTTTCAATAGAAGAAAGAAATGGAATTTTGCTCTTTGCTTTTTATTTGCACTCACTGCCATTTCATGTGAGTTTTTCACCTTTTACTTTTTCTTCTTCTTCTTTGTTTTCTTAGAAAATGCATAACTGTTAACAGAATATTCAGTTGAATTCTGAAGGAATTTCGTTAATTGGGCTTTAAAAAACTATGAAAAATGAAGTTAATTAACACCATGATCATGGAATTTCACTCTTTAGCTTTACTTAAGAGAAGTGAAGTGTTATGTTATAAATCTTGAAATTGTGAAAGAATTTGTTGAGTAATTACTGTAGAGGGTAAAATTCTGCTGACCCTTTATTGTAAGGACATATTTTTTTAAAATCAAATTCTGGATTTTTGCCTAAAAATTGTCAAATTTACAGGCTTTGTTGAATTGGATAATATTTGACCTGGCAAATTGGCACGTACAAGCTTGTGGGATTTTGGTCTAGTGGTAAAAGCACAACTTGTGATGTGTGAGTTAGCCGCATTTCACATGTTTAAACCTTGTCATACACAAAAAGCCTAGTATTTAAGTGAGAATTTAGAGGAGCGGACCCATTATCCATTGAGTTTCGAACGATACGCTATTGACCCTGGGGATTTGTCGGTTACCAAAAAAAGGGCAGCCCGATGCACTAAGTTCCCGCTATGCACGGGGTCCGGGAAAGGGCCGGACCACAAGGGCCCTTCTGTGAACCCCACGCATAGCGGAAGCTTAGTGCACCGGGCTACACTTTTCTGATAATCGCTTGTCGGTTATCAAAAAATAAAATTTGGCATGTACATTCCTACTTTTTTTAAACCAAAATTAGCAGTGGAACATTGTCATGCACAAAAATCCTAGTATTTAAGTGAGAATTAGAGGAGCGGGCTCACTATCCATTGAGTTTCGAACTATGCGCCATTAACACTCGGGGATTTTTCGATTATAAAAAATATAAAAAATTGGCATGTATATTCTTACCTTTAAAATTAACATTGGTTGTCTAATTATCTTCTGAAATAAAAATCGAGAAGTTGCTTGAGCTTACACAATTATTTTAGCACCTGCATTTTGCACTTCTTTGTCATTTGATTTTTAAGTTCCTTTTTTTTTTCATCTTAATTTAGTTATAGGCCTTAGACACCATGGACACGTTGGTATTTGGCTAATTGGAGATGTTGGGAGATATAATGGAAAACTTCAGCAAAATGCTGACGTTGTTGAATCGGAGCAAGCTGTTGTTGCTGCTGATGATGGTCGGTGCTCGGAAATTGGTATATCCATGCTTAAAATTGGTGGACACGCAGTTGATGCTGCAGTCGCTACAGCACTTTGCCTTGGAGTTGTCAATCCAATGGCCAGTGGACTTGGTGGTGGAGGCTTTATGGTTGTTAGATCTTCATCAACATCAGAAGTTCAAGCTATTGATATGAGGGAAACTGCTCCTTTAGCTGCTTCACAGGTTCGTAATTCTCTCGTTTAGCATTACTTTTTCTCATTCAAGTTTCAACTCATCCAAACATCATCAAATAACTATTTAATTTGGAGTTTAACTTCTATACACCGAATTGAAATGAATTTTTACAGTGTCAGGTCACCTAATAGATAATTACATGCAATCGTCCATAAATAGTGAGAATACTAATGCGGAAACTAAGACATGCTGCCTATTACAACTAGATACAGCAATATTGTAAAAAAAAAGTTACATTGTTAGTGTATATAAGTTAAATTCTTTAATTTGTATCTACATGAGTAAACTGTGGCTTAAATGGAGTGACATGAACATTGAGGATTCATATAGCGGACCCCAACTTGCTCTGGATTGAAATACTGATATTGTAAAAAGACAGGTAGGTTGTCAGTGTATATACATTAAATTCCTTAATTTGTATCGACATAAGTAAACTTTGGCTCAAATGGAGCGACATGAACACTAAGGATTCTTATAACCGATCCTAACTTGCTTTGGATTGAAGCACTGATATTGTAAAAAGCAATTAGGTTATTAGTGTATATAAGTTAAATTCTTTAATCTGTATCGACATAAGTAAATTGTGGCTTAATGAAGCGAAATGGACAGTGAGGATTCATGTAGCTGACCCCAACTTGCTTGGAATTGAGGCATAGTAGTAGTTGTTGCTGTAGTTGTCTACATGAAAAAACTGTAGTTCTGTTCTTATTGGGAATTGGAATTGGTATTTAGTATCTAAACATAGACAACACGAAGTTGCAAGTTCTGAATTTGATTTGTTTGTCCTCTCTGATTACATTGATAATGAAGTTATCCTCAAACAGAATATGTATGATAATAATGGGAACTCCAAGTTAGAGGGAGCACTGTCCATGGGAGTTCCCGGTGAGTTAGCTGGTCTTTACGCTGCTTGGTCAAAGCATGGCAGGTTGCCGTGGAAGACCCTATTTCAACCAGCGATTAAACTTGCAAGAGATGGATTCGTGGTTGCTCCATATCTCGCACACCATATTGCTCAAAAGGCAAAGGTGATACTTAAAGATCCTGGCTTGCGACAAGTAATTGCACCAGAGGGGAAGTTGTTACGGGCAGGTGAAATTTGCCATAACGTAGAACTTAGCCACAGCTTAGAGCTTATTGCTGAACAAGGGCCTGAAGCATTTTATAATGGAGAGGTTGGTGAAAAGCTTGTCGAAGATGTGAAAAGAGCGGGTGGAATTTTGACAATGGACGATTTGAGGAATTACAAAGTGGAAACTCCAGAAGCAGTTACCGTTAATGCTATGGGCTACACCATCGTTGGAATGCCACCTCCGTCCAGTGGAACACTGGGGATTTCTCTGGTATATATATAAACCAACTTAGCTTGTACTGCTATTTTCCTTCTAATAACACAGACGTAGACGTATTGGTTCCAATCTTCCTCAATTATGTCTAAACTTAATACAACGCAATTGTCTGACTAAACCTTTGCGATTGGGGAAATGCAGATTCTTAAAATCCTTGAAAGCTATAATGCTGCAGAAGGTTATTTAGGTCTGCATCGACTGATTGAGGCGATGAAACACATGTTTGCAGTTCGGATGGACCTAGGTGATCCTGACTTTGTAAATATCAGTAAAACTGTATCTGACATGCTTTCCCCATCTTTTGCCAAAGAAATTCAACGAAAGATTTTCGACAATACCACCTTTCCTCCTGAATACTATATGCCCAGGTTAGATAAATTCTAGAACTAACGAGCCTATTGATTGCATACCAATGGCTCTAAAGCGGTTTTGGTCCTTCATTCGTAGGTGGAGTCAGCTAAGAGATCATGGAACAAGTCACTTTTGCATTGTAGATTCCGATCGAAATGCTGTATCAGTGACTACTACAGTAAACTACGCATTTGGAGCCGGTGTGCTCTCTCCGTCAACTGGTATTGTAATCAACGATGAAATGGGAGATTTCTCAACACCTAGTGAAATATCCCCTGATGAACTTCCTCCTTCTCCGGCTAATTTTATTCAGCCAAAAAAGAGACCATTGTCGTCCATGGCTCCAATCATTGTTCTCAAGGTATCCAATCCAGAAAACGATCCTTTGAACAATGCATCATCTTTATTAACTGCTTAGTTTATGGACGATCCGAACTTGCTCATTAGTTGTTGTTTAGTATATCTTGTATTGATTGTTTCTCCTTCCTGGAAATTTAACAGGATAATCAGTTGGCTGGTGTAATTGGTGGTAGTGGTGGCATGAAAATAATCCCCGCAGTCGTCCAGGTTTTCATCAACCACTTCATCTTGGGGATGGATCCTTTAGCAGCAGTGCAGAGTCCAAGAGTCTACCACGAGGTCAGTCCCTTTACCTGGATCAGCAGCGTACACTACTCCCTCTGTTCCACTTTATGTTCCACTTTATGTGAACCTATTACTATTTGGGGAGCCGGACAAAGTTTTCTTTGACCACGTTTTTTGCAAATACTTTTTAAATATTTTGAATTGTTAACTATTAGTATGACTAATAATACTTTTTATGTAGTTTCTAAATATATAAATTTTATATTAAAATTTTTGAAAATTATATATCCGAATCTACACAGGAAGTTGGTCAATTTGAACCTCGTACTCCCAAAAGGCTCACATAAAGTGAAATGGAAGGAGTATTTTTAACGATCAATTCTGAAACCCCGAGTATTTATTCGTGTTCCTTTCTTTTTTTGCAGTTAATTCCGAATGTAGTTCTGTATGAGAACTGGACATGCATCGATGGCGATCACATTGAACTCTCGGATGAGAAAAAGCATTTCTTGGAAGAGAGGGGTCATCAACTCGAGGCACATAACGGAGGAGCCATCTGCCAGCTAGTTGTTCAAAACCTTCCAAATTCTCATTTAAAGTTGGGAAGGAGGAGCGGGAAAGAATATAAAAACGGGGTTTTTCGTGGGATGCTTGTGGCTGTAAGTGATCCTAGGAAAGATGGAAGACCTGCAGCCATATGATGGACTCATCCTGCGCGATTTATGAAATCAGTCTTTTGTTTGTATATAAGGTAAAAAACTGGCTAAAAGCGACAGTTTCTGGAGACATAATATAGAAAGGGGAATTCAAGATTTGCCCGAATCGGGCAAATACTGTCTTCTGTGTGCAACATGATCAAGAAACTACCCTCTCTGGTAATTTATGTTGATATCAAAGTTTAGTCTTTAGCCATAGTTAACAGTTAACATACTGTTTCTCTCCTTTGCTAGGAAGTAAATATTGGGGCAAGGTACTTGTGATTTTTTGCCCTTGAGTTTAATTGGAGTCAAATGTTTTGCTTTATTAGTATGTAGTGTGCTTTCTCAAGATACTACAACTTACACAGTGTGATCTCACAAGTGGGGTCTGGCCGTCTGGGGAGGGTGGGAGTGTACACAGACCTTATCTCTACCTTATGTGAGGTAAGAGGCTGTTTCCGATAGACCCTCGGCTCAAGAGTGTGCTATCTCAAGATGAAATATGATATTGAGCTTGCACTATTAAACCAGACAATAGAATCGGAATGAAAAGGATATTTAAAATATTTACAGATGACTAAAGGAAGTTATGAAAATATATCAACTTGATATTGAACTTATCACATTGCCAAAATGAGGATCCATAGTTGAAACTAAAAGATGGATGAATTACAAAAAGGAAAAAGGGTTAAATTTGCTCATGTATTTGAAATTGAGCAACTTTGCCATTAATCAAAATTTCTGTCTTATTTTATCTTTGTTGTTAAGGAAAAAGTCTTATTTCTGCTCTTGATCCTAACGAAGCTCCAACTGCAGGGTAATTTTATACTATAGTCAAAAGTTGAGGGGAAGAATTTGGATCTTTTCTCTAAAAGAATTTGGACATATGAAGACTGAAGTTCACACATTTCAGGCTAGAACTCTGTTAATGGCAAGATAAATATGAGATAATTTACTAACAACAAAGATACGAATAAACTAAAAGTTCGACATATGGAAAATTAAACAATTTCAACATATGAAAGAATTAATTTCAGCATATGGAAAATTGAAAAAATTACGCATATTGGAAAAATTGAACAACTTTGGTACTCCCTCCGGTCCAAAATAAGTGATTTTTTTGGCATTTTTCTTGTGGTCCAAAATAAGTGATTTTTTCAGATTTCAAGAATGAATTAATTATTTTTTCCCTACATTGTCCTTGGAGTAAATAGTGTTGGAATATGTGTTAGGAGTGTTTATGTAAGATAGTAAAGGTTAATATGGTCAATTCTATTGCTAATTAATGCTAAAAGGTGAATTTCTTAATCTGTGTGAAAACATCCAAAAAAATCACTTATTTTGGACCGAAGGGAGTGTATGGATAGTACATGAGCAAATTGAATTCTTTCCCATTTTGAAAGAGTAAGTTCATTTGCCATAAAATTTTCAATTGTAGGTCGCATGTACAGCAAGCGACCTACTTTTTTTTTTTTTTTTTTGTGGCCAAATACATAGTAAAAATGGCGTGTAGTAGCCACTAATTAAGGGTGTCTTTAATTTTTATCCACTAATTATAATGCTCAGCAAAAATAGCCACTACTAATAGAAAAAAGACAATTTTACCCTTTCTTCCTCTCTTTCGCGTTGCATTTTCATCTGGAATACCCAAGGCGATTTCACGGTCGGCCTCCTCCATGCTTGGTCAATAGCATCAGGTCTATTAGTGACCCCAATTACTAGGACATAACCAGGTCCATCATGAGATCCTTCTGATTTTGCTTCACTATTCCTTTTACCAATACGTACCGTAGTTCCTTTTGCATCATCAAAATTTTCAAGTTCTGAATTTTTGAGCAGATGTCTCAATTAGGTACAGTAATTTCTTTCTTCTTACCTTGTTTTTGTTTCTTTTGAGTTCAAAGATTAAAAGTTAAGGACATGAGTCTTTAAGTTTGACATGCAGGTTTAAAAGTTAAGGACATGCATTCCTTAAATTTGACATGCAGGTTCAAAAGATAAGGACAAACAATCCTTAACTTATAGTTTCAAGTTCAAAACTTAAGGATAGTCAGTATTTAAGTTATTGTTTCAAGTTCAAAACTTAAGGACTTTCTGTCCTTAACTTTGAGTTTCAGTTTCAAAAGTTAAGGACAGACAGTCCTTAACTTATAGTTTCAAGTTCAAAACTAAAGGATAGTCAGTATTTAAGTTATTGTTTCAAGTTCAAAACTTAAGGACTTTCTGTCCTTAACTTTGAGTTTCAGTTTCAAAAGTTAAGGACAGGCAGTCCTTAACTTATAGTTTCAAGTTCAAAACTTAAGGATAGTCAGTATTTAAGTTATTGTTTCAAGTTCAAAACTTAAGGACTTTCTGTCCTTAACTTTGAGTTTCAGTTTCAAAAGTTAAGGACAGGCAGTCCTTAACTTATAGATTCAAGTTCAAAACTTAAGGACGTGCAGTCCTTAAGTTATTGTTTCAAGTTCAAAACTTAAGGACATGCAGTCCTTAACTTTGAGTTTAAAGTTCAAAGTTGAGGACAGGCAGTCCTTAACTTATAGTTTCAAGTTCAAAACTTAAGGACGTGCAGTCCTTAAGTTATTGTTTTAAGTTCAAAACTTAAGGACATGCAGTCCTTAACTTTGAGTATAAAGTTCAAAAGTTAAGGACGCTTGGTCTTGAAGTTTGAGTTCCAAGTTCAAAACTTAAGGACATGTAACCTTGAAGTCCTGAACTTAGAGTTCCAAGTTCAAAAGTTAAGGACATATAGTCCTGAAGTCCTGAACTTAGAGTTTCAAGTTCAAAAGTTAAGGACATGTAGTCCTGAAGTCCTGAAGTTAAGGACATGAGCAGAAGGGTATTTTTGTCCGAGCAGTTAAAGTTTATTAAACCAGTGGCTAAAGACTAAAGACATTTAAAATGCTGGCTTTAAAATAAAGACATAAGCTGTTAGTGGCTATCCGTGCACATCGCCCCAAATACATATAGAGACCATTAAACTTGGCCCAATTTTTCATTTTGGCATTCTAACTAACTCTTGTTCCATTTTGGCCCTCCAACCCTAATTTTTGTATTTCATTTTGACACAAAATTTTTTCTCCCAGGTAAAATTGCAGCGCGTGCATTTCAGCTGCTACCCCCACCCCACTGCCCCCCACCCCCCGCGCAATTTGTAATTTCAAATTATTATTTTTTTCGTTTTTTTTTTGCCCACATCCCGGGGAAATTTTTTTTTTTATATTTTCAGTAATAACTATGGGTTCAACTAAACCCATAACTTTCGATGCGGAGTAAAAATTTGTATGTAAAAATTCATTAAAATTATAAAAAAATAGATATAAACCCATAACATTTAAAAGTATAATGGGTTCTTTTGTTCCACTTTGACACAAAAATTTTTATCCCAGGTAAAAATATAGC